AAGGCAACAGGGTAATTTTAGGTGGGAGAAAAATAGAAATAAGGGGTTCAGTTAGGTCACAATGACTGTGGACAACAAGGTCTGAAAAAAAATGTCAGTTGAGATAAGGAAAAGAACTGGCTTTGAGAGACCTTTGAGAGGGAGACACGAGTTCAGTGACCAATTGGATGTAAAGAGTGAAGAAAAGGAGTGTACACTGACTTTGAAACTGAATGCTTGGGAAGATGGTGATGTCACTAGCTGAGCTGGTGAAATAAATTCACTTTTAGATAAAATGAATTTAAAGTGCCTAGGGGACATCTATTAGATATTCAAAAGGAAACTGAAAATTTCAGTCTGGAGATCATGATTAGAAGTTGGGGAGGCTGAATAATGGTCCCCAGTGATATCTAGATTCTACTCCTTGGAATCTGTGAATGTTACTCTATATGGCAAAAGTGGCTTTACAGATGTGATAAAATTAGGAATATTGAGATAGGGAGAGTATCTTGGAGTATCCAGGTGAACCTTATATGTAATCACAAGTGTTCTTATATGAATGAAACAGAGGAAGACTTTACTACAGAGGGAACAGGAGATGTAATGATGGAAGCAAGATGCTGGAGGGTATAAGGAAGTGTCATAATCCAAGGAATGCAGGAAGCCCCTGGAAGCTGGAAGAAGCAAGGAAAGATTTCTTCCCTACAGCCTCCAAGGGAAATTAGCCTTGGTGATGTTTATTTTTTACCATACTGTGTGGCATATGGGATATGTCCCCCATATGGGGGATATGTCCCCCAACAAGGGATTAAACCCATATCCCCTGCAGTGGAAGCATGGAGTCTTAACCACTGGATGACCAGGGAAGTCTCGATGACATCTTGATTTTATACCAGTGAAACTTATTTCAAATTTCTGGATTCCAGAACTGTAAGAAAATAAACATGTGTTGTTTTATACCAAATTCGTGGTAAAGTTGTTTCAGCAGTCACAGGAAAGTAATAAAGAGGTATAATTCAGGGAGTAATTGGTAAGGAGCAGTAAGTAGGAGGAATGAATAAAATCATCTAGGGGAGAAGAGAATATGTAGAATAACGAGAGAGGAGGACCTAGGAAGGAACCCTTCAGATCAACTCTCAACATTCAGGCAGAGGCAGATGGACTTTGATTTCCGGCAATATGATGGACTAGATATCCAGAATAATCTTCTCATTGAAGCAACTAAAAATAGTTGACAAAGTATTTTTTAATCTTTTGAAATGCATTCTATGCTTGCAGCAAAGTAAAAAAAAACCACTTAGAGGCCAAGAATGAAATGTAAGTAGGAACCCAGGAAATAAGTAAAACCTAGAGAGTCTTTTGCTTGAGGGCATTTGCCAGATGAGTGAATATATTGGTTAAGGTGTGCACAAAGTGAGAAATCTATGTGTAGACTCAGCCACCACTACTTAAAGCTGGGGCCTCAGAAGACTACCCCTTTTGTGTCAGGATGAACTACAAATAAATCTACTGCCTTCCCTCCACCCCCCAAAAATGGCAAGAAAAATTGCCCGTCTTGAGGATTGACTCTAAATGGAGGGAGAGGAAAAAGAAATCCCTGAGGATCTGAAGCATAGTCAACACTCACACAGGCTTGCAGCTCAAATTCATGCTATCTCTTGGAGTCAAAAAGAAAAAACGAAAACAACCTTAAGTCAGGAATTAAGTTTAAAGTAAACCTCAACATGTAGTTCCAAGACACCTCTCAGAAACAAATACAAATCTTTTCTGGGTGTACCCATCTTCAAAACAGGCCTTAAAGAATTCCCATCAGTAAGTGCTAAAGATATGTGAGCTAATGGTTTAAATCACAAAATATAAAAGGAAAGAATACACCATGAACAAGGGACAACAGAAATAATCAACAGTAGAATCAGACTGCAAAGCATTAGCTATGAAATTACCAGGCACAGCATATAAAATCAGTATGTTACATGTACTTAAAGAAATAAGAGAAGGGGTTGAAAAAAACACATCAAACATGAGCCAGCAGACTTGAAGAAGACTCAAAAAAATGACTAGAAATTTCAAATATAATATTTGAAATTAAAAACACAATTTATGGATTTAATGGCAGAATAACCACAGCTGGAGAATGTATTAAGAAAGATCCAATAATTAATAATGTAGCCCAAGGAGATGGAAACATAAAAAAGTAGTCACAAGTCATGGGGATATTGTTAAACAGTATGGCAATTACCTAATCAGAATTCCAGGCAGACAGTAGGAGAAGGAACTGGTAATGAAAGCAGTAATTGAAATAAAGACTGAGAAGTTCCAAGAAATGACAAATCACAGATTCAAAAACCTCAACAATCCCAAGAAGGATATATAAGAAGAAATTTACACTTAGACACATTCCAGGAGAAATGTAGAATACTATAAACAAAGAAAAAATGTAAAAGCAGCCAAAGGAAGTAAAGACAGATTACTTTCAACAGGACAACAATTAAACCTGACAACCACAGAAGCCAATGTACCAAAAGAAAATTATTGTCAAACTAAATTTATATATTATCTTTAAAGAACAATGTAAGAAATATCTTAAAATAAGCAAACAAAAACTGAGAGTTTGCAACCATTTAAACCCTCAGAAGGAAATTCTAAAGGCTGTTTTTACATTCTTCCTGAAGAAAATGAGCACAGATGGAAGGTCAAAGATGAATGAAGGAATGAGGAGCAAGGGAAGTGCTAAATATATGTTTACATGTAAATAAATATGGGCTAAGAACAACAACAACAACAACAACAATAATCTCTTAAAAGATTTTCTTAAAGTAGCTAGAAATAAAATTCACAGCCATGAATAGCAGGTAAATTGGGAGAAGAATGATCAGACTTCAAGTATTCTGTGCTTTTTATTGTTTGGGAGAATGGTAAAGATATTAAGTTTCCAAGTTAAAATTTCTAGAATAACCACCAAAAGGGTATATAACTTCTTAATTATAAAGGAAAAAAATGCGAAAGAGAAAAAATTCAACATAAAAGTACATGAAAACAGAGAAAAAAGAAATATTGAAGATTCAAGACACATTAGAAAGCAGAAAATAAGATGGTAGAAATAAACTTAAGGGTTTCAGGTGTTAAAATAAGCAAAAATAAACTGAGTACCCAACATTTTAGGCAAGAATTTACAGGTGGGGTGTGTGTATGTGTGTATGCATGCGTGTGTGCTAAGTCGCTTCGGTTGTCCCTGTGGACTTTGTGAGCATGTGGACTGTAGCCCACCAGACTCCTCTGTCCATGAGATTCTCCAGGCAAGAGTACTGGAGTGGGTTGCCATTCCCTTCTCCAGGGAATCTTTCTGACCCAGGGATTGAACCTGAGTCTCTTGCAGCTTCTGCATTGCAGGCGGATTCTTTACCACTAAGCCACGAGGGAGGCTCACAGTGTGTGTGTATACATATACATGTATATATTCTATTTTAAAGAGTTTGGCTATATTCCATTTAAGTCATGTTTAAAATATAAGGATTTAGAAAAATTGAGAATGAGTATGAAAAAAAAAACTATACCATGCAGACAATAACCACAAGAAAGTTGGTGTTGCTATATTAGTATCAGACAAAACAGTTCTTAAGACAGAAAATTTTAAGAACAAGCATTTCCAAAGGATGAAAGGTTCAATTCTCCAGGAAGATGTCAGAGTGCTTAAACTTGTAAGTATTTAGAATCAAGCTGACAAAATCAGTAAACAGAAGATTAGAACAACACAATTAATAAACTGTCTCTACTTGAATAAACATTGATAATATCATGTGTAACACCTACAGCATTCACATTCTTTGCAAACAACATGGAGCGTTTTTGAAAACTGACCACACGCTGATTTATAAAACAAATATCAACAATTTTCAAAAGACTGAAATCATACAGACCACAGTTTCTGACTGTAATACAATTAAGTTAGAAATCAATAACAAAAGGATAACTAAAAAATTTAAAAAATTAAGATGTGGAAAATTAAGATGTCCTATTCTAAATAACCTGTGGGCCAAAAAGGAAATTATGATAGAAATTAGAAAATACTTAGACTGTATGGCAAAAAATACTATAATCAAGATGTATTCAATATAGATAAAGTAAGATCTAGTGAAAAATTACATCTTTAAATGCTTTTATTAGTAAACGTGAAAGGCTAACAATGAGCTAAGAAGTTAGAAAAACAACAATGAAATAATAAATAAAATGTGAAAATAAAGATAACAGCAGAAATCAATGAAATAGAAAAAAAATGTAAAAGAAGGTTAACAAGTCCCCAGATTCTTTCTTTGAAAAGCCTCTTATAGATAAATATTAGAACAAAGAGATAATTACAGTCAATGCAGACAAATAATTAATAAGGAGGATTACAAATTTTAAGGCTATGAACTGGAAAATTTAGAGAAATGGATAAATTCTTAGAAAAATATAACCTACTAAAACTTCTTCAAGAACAAATAGAAAACAATAGTCAAAAAAAAATTTAAAGAAAATAGTTGTTTAAAATTGTCCCATATGGAGAATGGAGGGAAGGGATAGTTAGGGAATTTGAGATGGACATGTACATACTGCTATATTTAAAATGGATAACCAACTAGAACCTACTGTATAGCACATGGAACTCTGTTCAGTGTTTTGTGGCAGCCTGGATGGGAAGGGGAGTTTGGGGAAGAATGGATACATGTATATGTACGGCTGAGTCCCTTCGCTGTTCACCTAAAACTTTCACGACCTGATGGGAAGCACTGACTCATAAGAAAAGACCCTGATGCCAGGAAGGATTGAAGGTAGGAGGAGAAGGGTATGACAGAAGATGAGATGGTTGGATGGATGGCATCAACGACTCAATGGACATGAGTTTGAGAAAGTTCTGGGAGTTGGTGATGGACAGGAAAGCCTGGCATGCTGCAGTCCATGGGATTGCAGAGTCAGACATGGCTGAGTGACTAAACTGAAATGATCACAACATTGTTTGTTAATCAGCTATATCCCAATACAAAATTAAAAAGGTTTTTTAAAAAAGGAAAAAGAATTATCCCATAAAATAAAAATCAAGACCAGATAAATTTTTTGCTGTAGTTGTTTTCCTTAAACAATTTTTTGTATTAATTTTCAATCATACAAAACAAAGTAGAGAGAATCATAAAACAAGCTCCTCTATATCCACCACTCAGCTTCAATGATTGTCTTCCTTTACTTTTCATCAAACTCTTCCCTCTCCACTTAAAAAACTTTTTTTATTTTGAAATAATTGTAGCCTTACTAAATGTTCCAAAAATAGTAGCAAAAGTTCTGATATGCTTTAACTCAGCTTCCCCTGTTGTTAACATTTTATATAGCCTCAAGACAACTAATCAAAGCTATGTCAACTTTGATGTGTATGTGTGTGTGTGTCCAGTTGCTTGGTCAACTTTGGTACAGTAGTATTAACTAATCTTCAGACTATAATTGAGTATCACAAGTTTTCCCATTAACGTCCTTTTTTTTAAAATCCAGGATAAAATCAGGAGTCTCCTCCTCCTCTTCCTCTGCAGTAGTTCCTCAAGGTCAAGTAGTTTCACAGTTGAGGTCTAACAAATACTCAGGAGACAAGTAATTCCAATCTTTCACAACCTATTCAAAACACAAAAAAGAGAACACACTCCTTAGCTTGCTTTATGAAATTAGAATAACTGATAATGAGGTCAGTCTCACTTATGAACAGTGATGCAAAAAAATCCAGACAAAATAATGGAAAATCATACCATAAAGTGTATGGAAAGTTAATAAATCATGACCACGATGATTCCAGGATCTAGGAATGCACAGTTTGATTACCATTAGATGATCAGTTAATGAAATAAATTAATATGTTAAAAGCAAAAAAATCATATGATCACCTCAATAGATGCAAAAATGATAGAATTCCACATACATTCTTGCTAATTTTTTTCAAATTGAGGTATAATTGACATACATTATGTTTCAGGTGTATAGCATAATGATCTTATATTTGTCTATATTGCAAAATGATCATCAATTAAGTCTAGTTAACCTCCATCACTATACACAGTTGCACAATTTATTTTTCTTATGTTGAGAACTTTACTCTCTTAGCAACTTTCAGATATGCAATATAGTATTATCAACTGTAGTCACCATTCTGTACATTATATCCCCATGACCTATTTATTTTTTAACTGGAAGTTAGTACCTTTTGACTCCCTTCACCCATCTCTTTGGGTGCTGAGTAATCCCCCCATCTCATTGTTTTCCGTGGTTAGTCCAAACTTCAAGCTGCCTTCCTCTTCATTTGGCTAAAAGTAATTCCCTTTCTACCATCCCTTTATCCAACAGCAAATGCATTTTTCTACCTCTTCACACACACACGCATCCCTCAACTTCCTGATAAATCCCCAACTTGTGACACCATCAAATTATCTTCTCCCAGTCTTTCCTCTGTTTCACTGTAAGTGGAGTTCTTCATTCTTTCCAAGATTAAATACTCCAGTGTGTTCTGATTAACCCCCCTCCTACCTATTCAGAAACTACACATTCTCAACCATCCTCTCTTTCTCTCTTGTCACACATGACACCACAACTTCCTCCTCTGTGATACCACTTTCCAACCTATATCAGTTCAGTTCAGTTGCTCAGTTGTGTCTGACTCTTTGCAACCTCATGAACTGTAGCATGCCAGGCCTCCCTGTCCATCACCAACTCCTGGAGTCCACTCAAACCCATTTCCATCGAGTCGGTGATGCCATCCAACCATCTCATCCTCTGTCATCCCCTTCTCCTCCTGCCCTCAATCTTTCCCAGCATCAGGGTCTTTTCAAATGAGTCAGCTNACAATATACAGCCTTGACGTACTCCTTTTCCTATTTGGAACCAGTCTGTTGTTCCATGTCCAGTTCTAACTGTTGCTTCCTGACCTGCATACAGGTTTCTCAAGAGGCAGGTCAGATGGTCTGGTATTCCCATCTCTTTCAGAATTTTCCACAGTTTAATGTGATCCACACAGTCAAAGGCTTTGGCATAGTCAATAAAGCAGATAGATGTATTATATATATGTGTGTGTGTGTGTGTGTGTGTGTGTGTGTGTGTGTGTGTGTAAGTTAATTTTTAAACACTAACCAAAGGAACAAACAATACTTACTCAATCTAGAGTCCCTCTCAAAATAGGCTGCTACATCGTATCCTGAATTGGAGGTGCCAGCAGGGAACGTTTACAAAATCAATGTGACCAGGTCTCTTGGGGTTGACTGTTACACAATCTGAGCAATTATATGTAGTGACCCTCTTCAAATTGTCTCCTTCCCTTTATAGTTACCCTTTCTGGAAAAAAGCTGTAAGCTACACTTGCTGTTTCTTCTTCCTTGTCTTCTCCTCTAGCTTCAGCCCCCACTACCTCTCTATAATATGTGTTACTTAGGCCAACAGTTTCTTATGACCAAATCTAATGAATATTTTTCTACTTTTATTTTACCCAGCAGTTATTTGAAGTTATAGACCATCTTTTTCTTGAACTTTCTTTAACATCCTTCCTCTCCTGATTTTCTTTCCTCTTATCTTGCTGGCTAGCACTCAGATTCCTTTAAGATCATTCATTGTCTGGGCCCTCCTTAAAGATCAGTGTTCTCTGAGGTTACATCCTAGACTCTGTCCTCCTCTCCTTTATTCAGTTTGCTTGGGTGACATAGTTGAAATACTTGGCTTTATCTATAGTAGGATCACATTTTGAGACTTGGAGTTTGGGGGATGGAGATGAAGAGGGAAGGTTCTGAAGTCAAGTGTAGGGCATATAATTTAGCCTTAGAGATCCTTTTAATAGTCTATGAATACAGTAGAGAACCATCTGTCATAAGTCAGCATAGTTTTTCCATAGGTGTTGGAAGAGATTATTGAATTTCAGCTGGGCACCAGGTTATCTGTATTTGACTTGGGTTTAGGACCATAAATGTAAAACAAAAAGTAGGTACAATATCTTTAAATACAAGACCAACTCTCAGCCTAGGGGAATGTTTATACTGGGGAAATGGAAGCTTGCTAAGAGTATTACATCTTTTCTCATGTTCATCTGGGGATGTAGGCTGTTTGAGAGGAATGGTGGGGGAAATTATTGTATCATTGTAACTATGGATTTTCTCTATCCCTTTTGTTCTTTCTTGTTTAACCAAATGTGTGTAGCTGTATTTGGGCTTTCCTGGTGGCTCAGTGGTGAAGAATCTGACTGCCAGTGCAGGAGATGCAGGTTTGATCCCTGGGTTCAGAAGTTCCCCTGGAGAAAGAAATGGCAATCAATTCCAGTATTCTTGCCTGGGAAAATCCCATGGACAGAGGAACCTGGTGGGCTACAGTCCATGGGATCACAAAGAGTTGGACACGAACGACTAAACAACAATAGTTGGATTTGCATAAGTGAAATGTGCATGTACATTCTACTAGCTGTTTGCAAATAACTCTTCTGTATCTCCAGTTTGGTCTTCTGAGACCAGGTTCACATGCTGAAGATCCCCTTATAGGTGGATTCTACCTTCATATTAACACTCTCTAGATAGAACTCAACGTTTCTCCCCTATCCTTACATGACTGCCCCCCCATCCACTTCCCTTCTCTAGTCCCACCTGGAAGAATGATACCTTTGTTCAGTCACCCAAGCCAAATGCCTAAGAATTATCCCTAGATCTTTTCTTTTCCTTAGCATCCACATTTCATTAACAGCCACGGCATATTCACTCTATTCTCTTAAAGTCACTCAAATCTTTGCTCTAGCTCTCCATCCCACTGCTATTGCCTTAGTTTATGTTTGCCATCTTCCGTCTTTTCTTAGAATTAGTGCACTAGCTTTTAACTGTTTTTTTTTCCCAAGCTTCTGCCTCATCCTCTCTTCCTCCTACTATTAAGAAAAAGTAAACAATGCTTGAAAATAAGGCCAAGGCAGTACGAGTAGATCCTTTTAATGTGATGTGTTATTTAAGGAAATGGCAACTGACTCCAGTATTTGTGGCTGGGAAATCCCATGGACGGAGGAGCCTAATGCACTTATAGTCCATGGGGTCATAAAAGAGTTGGATACAACTTTGAGACTCACCACCAACAACAACCTAACAATTATTTCATTAGGGAACATACCACCATTGAACTTTTTTTAAATGAAGATATGATGACTGGAATTTATAAGATAAAGGTTCACATTCTATGCAGTTACATGTTGATTTGTAGATTTTTGCCTGGTAGAAATACAAATAGTTTTGTCCCTAGAAAAGTTAATCCCAAGATTTTATTACTGTAACACTAAACAAATCTGTGTCTAACTTAAAAGAATGAGAAACTCATCTCATTTTGATTCCTCTCCTGATGGCCTATGTAAATTCCTATTCTTCAAGTGTCTTGGAACCAGCTTACCTAAATTATTGGTTCTCTCATTATTTAATAAGTTAAATAAAACTGTCAATCAGTGTCCATTCTATATTAACAAGAGGCTCATTTTTTAACCTTTTGGAAAATTACACTTTGACAGCATACTGCTACTAATAAATTCTTTGCAAATTGCTTTTCTGATCATGTTATTTCTCTGTTTATTTCCCTTAATGGCTCCATGTAACCTGAACAGCTGATGTTGCTCCCTAGTTTGACACTTTCATGCTGTTCATGGCTTTGGTCCTACCTATTTTTCTAGCCAAATCTCTTGCCATCCCCTCACAAACACTTTAAGTTCTAACCATGTGACACCACTAAACAAGCAACACTTTCTTCTGTTTGTATATGTCACTTTCTCATCTAGACCTCCCCCCCACCACCATCTCACTTCCACTACCCTTTCCCTCTTTCCTTCCTTCCTAAGTTATTTATGTTCAAGACTCAGCCAGCTATCACCTCCTGTCAAAGTCCCACCCGCCCTTCCTCCTGCCCCAGAACCTGTGCTGGCTTAGGGGTTGCTCTCCTGTGTCCTCCCTTTGCTTATGGCGACTGCAACATTCGCCATACTCTGTAATTCTTCATTTCCTTCCCCATTGGTGAGACTAAAGCTAGATTGTAAGCTCTTGAGTCAGGAACTAAACTGAACATCAATTAAGTAGTTATGTTTTGACTGTTCTATGAAGGAAATGACATATTTGCCTCATTTAGCTCAGCAAAGAATATATTTTTCTAGTACAATTGTGTCAAATTTAGTGACTGTCAACAGTGTTTTATTTATTATTATTATTCTAAAATATTGATTTATTCGGCTGTGTTAGGTCTTAGGTGCAGCTCACGAGATCTTCAATCTTCGTTGCGGCACGTGCGGTCTCTTAGTTGTAGCATGCAAGCTCTTAGTTGTGGCATATGGGATCTATTTCCCTGACTAGGGATTGAACCCAGGGCCCCCTGCATTGGGAGCATGGAGTCTTAGCCACTGGACCACCAGGAAGTACCAACAATATTTTAAAACATCAGCAAAGTTAGATGTAGCCTCCTTCCAATGGCCCCTACTCCTAAATTTATGTTTTTACATAGAGCATTTTTCTTGATTTCTTCTTAACGTTATAGTCCATGAAAGAAAATAAACTTTTATTGTAGATTTGTCTAATAAAGTTTGTTCCACACTTCTTGATTGTATAGTCATTAAGTTACTCAGATTTTTATTCATA